GAGAGAAGAGAAGAGAGAGAGAGAGAGAGGGGGGGAGTGAAAGAGATAAAGAGAGAGAGGAGAGAGAAAGAGAGAGAGAGAGAGAGAGAGAGAGAGAGAGAGATTTCAATTCATCTTCAGATTACTATCACTTATCAATCTGATGAATTATTTGCAGAAGTGAGGCTTAGGCTGCAACGGAACACTTAGCCGATAATTGCTATATGAAGCGATTATCGAAAAGAGCTAAAAGCTTGGGAGCAAAACTTTAATGTGCATGCTTCATCACTACATAAAAAACTTATAAACAACGAATTATAATTATGGGGGGAAAATTGGTGGTCAGTCGGGAGGAGGACAAGAAAGGAGGGGGACCCAAGTAAACAAAAAAATGTTCTTCCGAGGATTCGATCCCACGCTCGTTGACTCCGAACGCAGTCGCGCTGTCCATTCGGCCACCTCAACTCCTTACTGAAATAGGGTAGATTAATTAAGCTTTATTATATATTTACAGCACTGTTTCAGATTCAGAAGTTTCCAAACTGCTAAAACTGGAATCATAGGCCTAAACACATTATTCACCACTAGCCTACCACAGCCAATCAGAGCCCACTAGCTTACCCACAGCCAAATCAGCTTCTGGCTGACGGGCTGCAGCTAGCCGCATGTGCAGGATTATGTTGGGCCTATGGAGGGTTGCCAGCTTGTCCTCCTGGAGGCCAAATTCCAGAAAATTAGCCACTTGAAAAATCGCTTGGCTCCAAGGAGCACTTTTGATTCGTCAGACGAGTGATTATTAGCATTGTAAAACATTAAGAATCTTCCAGGGATTGGGGGTTATATAAATGTCAATAACAGTCGTTAAACTCCTTGCTTAAATTGGCTCCCAAAATTGTGTTTGGCTTCCTTTCTATTATAATGACTCATTGCATTAGAAAGATTTAAAAGCATTTTATTACTTTCCCAATTTTTTCTTTGTTACACATCTCTAAACCAAACTAAAAATTTAGACCATTAGTTGGAAACAAAAAGCCAAAATTGCACCTGCTTACTTAGTAGACCCTTCGATTCACTGCCGTTTGAAAAACCACCAATTAGGCCAATATATGCAAGCCTACTGATCGCGGTTGCTCGCAACAGGCAAAGTCCCCAAACTGACTCACTGGGAAGAGCTAAAAGCATTATTTTACTTGTACAGAGTTTTCACAAAGTTTTCCTGAGGCAAGATACAAAGCAAGATTGATTAAAGAAATGTTATAACTACTTCTTTTTTTTTGCTACCCCCACAATTTTTCAAGAGTTTAATTACTTGCATTGTAAAACATTAAGAACCTTCCAGGGATTGGGGGCTATATAAATGTCAATAACAGTGTTTCAAAAAACCAATAAGATCCCCGTAAACTCACACAAGCACTTTTATTACACCTCTTCACCGCATGGGCACATGCAAATTATTGAGCTTCAATTTAAGACGACGTTAGTCTTCAAATCAACGTTTGGTAAAAGTGAGGTTAAGAGCAAAAGACTGTACAAGAGGACTGAGGAAGATAACAGAAAGGTAAGCCGAGCAATATAGCTTAGCTATATAATGGGATATACTAATTATTAAGTTAACACTTGGCCTCGAAAATTGGCCTCCGAACTTCTACCTGCATTTTGGTCTCCAACCTGAAAAACTCTGGCCTCTTCTTGGTTTTTTAAAAAATTATCTGGCAACCTAGCTTGATCGTACAGACAGGGTTTGTTTACAGTTTACACAACGTGCTCCGAAGTCGTGACTCCAGACCTGCCTGAAGTTCGAGAGATCTTAGATCTAGAAAGAATCTAGAGATCTAGATTAGATTTCTAGAGATCTGGTTGGTTGGTAAGAATTTTGCATACGTTATTATCTGGACCTGAGTAAGATGATTATGTTCTGCCTTTTATTCTAGATCCACATCTAGAAATCTAGATTCTAGATCTAAATCTAGGCCTTCGTTTATTCTAAACTTGGCGATTGTCAAGATTTCCGCGTTTAATTCCGATGTGCGTTTTTCATAGCCTCACCTCAGGTATGTTTCGCTTTGGTCCCTAACCCTAACCCTAACCCTGGTCAGGGTTAGGGTCAGGGTTAGGGACCAAAAAGGGTAAATTTTTACCTTCACTCCCGCACACAGATGCACTGTTTCAGGGGTCAAACTGCAGTACTGTTTAGTCTGTTTGCTGCAGATCACACATAAAGCCACTAAAACTGTCGCAAATCAATTATTTTCAAGACAATTTCAAATCTAACTGTAAAATATCAAATTATGGGTAAAAACAGGGGGGCCCCTGTAACCCCCCAGATTTTCTTTTACCCCACAGTGGGGCAGGCCCCCCTGGTACCCCCCGATTGGTCCAAAGCACGTCTATCTCGGTTAAAAACAATCAAATATTTCAAAAACTATTAATTTGCGACGGAAATGAAGTTGATATTCGTGTTCTGCGCATCAATATTTAGTAGAAAATAGACAACTGGTAGCTGAGTGTGAGACGGGAGGGAAAGTAAAAAAATACCCCAAAAACATACCTGAGGCCTGAGGCTATGAAAAACGCACACATCGGAATTAAACGCGGAAATCTTGACAATCGCCCTAAACTTTAACCTTTGTTCTAGACTCTAGATCTACATCTAGATCTAGATTTAATATCTAGATTCTAGATATTACATCTATAAATCTAAATCTAGATTAGATCTCTATCTAGATCTAGATAGATCTAGAATCTATATATCTAGATATAGACTAGATCTAGATATAGATCTAAATCTAGATCTATATCTAGAGTAGAGCTAGATCTAGATAGATCAATATCTAGATTTATATCTAGATCTAGAACTAAAGTATTTGTATTTCAGACAAAACCAAAAGGTGCCTTACTGACTTGCATGTATTTGAACCTGAATAATTACTAGATCTAGATCTAATGAGACCTGTGTACTTAACAGGCTTGAGTCGATTGGGCCAAACCTAGATCTAAGTACGGCTAGCCACTTCGTTTAAATAATAGTAAAGTCAGATACAGCATATTAACTCAGACACCAGTGTAATAGAGTCAGATACCAGTGTGTAATAGTAATACAGTCGGATATCAGTGTAGCAGAGTCAGATACCAGTGTAGTTGAGTGAGCCAGATGCCAGTGTAGTAGAGTCAGATACCACGTAGTAGAGTAGGTCAGATACATACTCATTAAAATGGCTATAAATGGTGAATACCACTTTAGACTTTAGACAAACTATTGTGTCCAAGTGTTGATAACAAACATTAAAAATCATGTTATTAAGCTTGCAAAGAAACAAATGTGATAATAATTGAAAATGACCGAATGTCAAAATACTGCCCGAATCCATGAGAAAACCCAAAAAATGTGACTGAACACGTAAATATATCGGGCGTCACTTTTGCACCCAGTAAGGGCCTCAAATATGAGAACAAGCTGAAACAGGTCATTCCTGGGGTCATCCAATCACAGGGCTTCCTGTAGCTGGTTTCGGTTTGTCTCTAGGGCAAGGCAGATAGGAGATATAAAGCTTTAAAGTCGACGTGCCTGTTTTCGTCCTAATTTTGACCGGACCGGTAATTTTACTCTACATGAAACGGTGACAGTAAAAGAACTTTTGGTTAGTCTTGATGTCAACAAAGCATCCCCATACCTGCCAACCCTACAGACAAATAGGTCATCGACTTTTTGGTCAAACTACCAATACACCGATTTTGAGAGATAAACCACCATCTTCGTGATTCTGTAGGTAGGGTGATTGCCAGGCCCCAGTGATTACCCAGGAATTTTAGGAAATCTGTAACTTGCCCCTGGAAAATACATAAAAGTTATAGAATATTTGAAAACCATATCTGAAAAAGCCCTTTTAAGTTCATTTTTGACGGTCGCGATCGTGATATTCGGCTTTCCACAGACCGAGAGTACGTTTCTTCACGCGAACAGGCGGCTATGGTGGTAAGCGGAAGTGTATGTTTGATAAGACTCGAGTCCGAATATGAAAAAATGTTATTCGGACTCGGGTCCGGAAAAAAGGAAGTGTCTTCGTTCTATAGATCTAATGTTCAGTGCTTCCAATTGTCCGCCATTCTTTAGTTTCCCCACACCTTAAATCTGCCGATCCGATGCCCGACGCTCATTGATACGCCACCCCCCATGTTTCCCACTTTCACTTTTCGAATCGAGTCGAACTACGGGGGTCGCCATTTTGTTTTGCCCGGAAGTTCTTGCAAGATCTACTCCTCCCCTCTTCTCTCTCTCTCTGTCTCTTTCTGAATACTGTCTATCGGTGTGGACGATCAAATTGACCAAAACAAAGTTAAAAGATAATGTTAAAACACAAAAGTAAATTGATTTGGTCGTCTACAAAGATGCTACGGCTATTTAACTTTTCGAATCGAGCATAACTACGCGGGTCGCCATTTTGTTTTGCCCGGAAGTTCTCGTGCTACTCCTCTCTCTCTCTCTCACTCTCTCTCTCTCTCTCTCTCCACTGCCCACAGACAAAATTGTACGCTTTTATAGGTCGTTAAGCCACAGTTGCCCACAGTTAGAAAAATCCTGCTCACTCAGTTCTCAATATTTCGATTTGAAATTTTGCAAAATAAAGTGAAATGACCTGGACGTTACGAAAACTATTTTTCTAAAATCGTAGTTTGTTTACCTCAAAAGATAGCTTATTTGGGCTTTGTATTTATCTCGAGCCCCAGTGGAAACAAAAAATCATGTATTTACAGCACGCTGACATGCTGGTAATTTTTTACCACTTTTTCGACACGGACAAGTCCGGTGTTATTGACGAACTGAAAACAGCTCACTCACAAATCTCTTGAAAACACTCTGTCATAATAATCTAAAGGCGTGTACTCAGTCGAAACATACAAGAGGGGCCTGGGTGAGACGACATAAAAGAATGGCTTTGTACCAACAGCATCGAGTTCCCAGAGCACGCTTTAAAATCAGAACTTTTGCAAATAGTCAAAAGTCTAAATCGACCCAAGATCAATACTATTGGTAAAGTCATAGCTTTTCATGGACACACGAGCCAGAGACTTCCACCGCACCATTCCCATTTAAACCCTATTGAGTTGGTTTGGCCACGATGTCGCTGACAAAAATATGACTTTAAAAATAGCGGACATCATAAGACATTGACGACGAATGCTATATTTGACGTAGACAGAT